TAAACTTCTAATTTTGAACAATAGCTGCCATTCAAGAAATGTACCAGTTGGCAGTCTAGTGACCTAAATTTGCATAGTGATAGGGTAGTTATTCTTTCTTAATTTTTGCTGCAAGAATAGAAACTGCCATTTCTTTGCTGTCAGTAACAATTCAAAATATTGTTTTCCTACCAGGAGGAGTCAGTAAGGTATTAAGTAATCATTTTTGTTGTAGTACAGAATGTTCATTTTTTTCACTCTCATACTGTTTCTTCTGGGATTTCCAAATGGCACGTGACAGCATTCCTCACCAGTCTCATAAATGCAGCAGTTGTAATGTAAAGTCTTCAGTCTTATGGAATGGTAATTTGAATGCAGGATAAGAAACCAAGGATAAGAACAAATCGACAGTTTGCACAAACTTTCTCCAGTTTAGACTTATTGTATTGGATGACAACTTCTGTTAACTCTGGCTGTCATTATGAGTTCTAGTCAACATGTGTAGAGTTCCCGGTTTGGGAATGAAAGCATGCACAGTCAAGGGTTGCCCTCTCTGTATTGGGACTAGCATCTTTAATTGATTCATAAATGAATCAGGGAAGTAACCAAGTTAATGGTGCCAAATCATTTAAAATGGCAAAATCTAGGCTATGGCTGAATTCTAGAGTCAGGTGGGAAACTGTGGAAGGTTGGGATGATGCATTAAGCTTCTCCAGAATTTTTTGGAGGGCCTTGCAGTTGTTCCTGCACACACGCAAAAAATACGTCTAAGGTACAGGGAACCATTCTAAGCATGTTTTTGACCCTTCCTAGCCCCTTCAAGGGCATGGCAGGATATTTTCTTTTGAAAAGATTTCCAAAAAAATCCAGGAGGACTGTAAGCATGTTGGCAATGCCATTAAAATAGTTGTAATACACACTATTACTTTAGTGGTCTATGATAGGCTGGGAATTTCATTGCACATACATGGTAGCTGACTCTTAGTAATTAATGTTTTCTTCTCATTTTTAAATACTTCACCAGTCTTGAATGGATTAGCTTAATTCATGAGTATCTATAAATAATATTAAACATTTGTTGGAAGATGTTTTTGTATTTTAATGTGCATAGTTTAATTATATTTATACCACTACGTCATGCTTTGAACTCATGATTTTATTCTTTAAAAGTATGGTGAATATGTAATTGGCATGAGAAGGCATACAGGCAGGTATTTCATTTATTCCTTTCATTTTTTTGAAAAAATTAAGAGTTTGCAAGCCCTCCATATCCATGGATTATTCATCAAACTATCCACTGTTTAAAAATATTCAAAAATAAATTCTAAACAGCAAACCTTGATTTTGCCACTTTATATAAGGAACACCATTTTCCATTTTTTATAATGGGACCTGCGCATCCATGAATTTTGGTGTCCACAGGGGCACCTGGAACCAAACACCAGTGGGTACCAAGTGACCAGTATAAATTGTATAAGTGTAAATTACACAGATTGTTTCAGCATTCAGTAAACTACCCTTAAAGGTTCATTGTTTTGATGTTTGTATTCTGGAATTTCCTTCTGTCAAGTGATTTTTAGATGGTATGCAGGTCTATTCCAGCCTCCCAAATTAAGTAGAAAGGATATAATGGGAATTAAATGAAAGAGCTGTAAACATTTTAAGTTCTACCACAAATAGTAAATGACATGAGAGATTTGTTTCTGTCCCTTTGACACATGTTCCAGCTTTAATCAGCTTTCATGATTTATTTTAACTTTGCGCTTGATTCAATTTTGAAGTACATTTAAAAAGAATGCAGATGTAATGCTTCTACACCATATGTTGCCATCCCTTTATTATGTTTCCTCTTCTAGCCTAATGGAGTCATTTTACAGTTACTGATGTAGTCAGAGGCTACTCATTAACTCTCAAAATGTGAGGTTGGCTCCTTATGGAGGTGCCAGCAGTTGGGCAGACTAGCTTCCCTTCACTGTTTTTATTCAGCTTGATAATAGGAGGTGCTGTAACAACATGCTATGTAAAGAAGTGCAGGACTGGGGAAATATTCAGGTTCTCCCATCTAGTAATGCAAGTCTCCAATGCAATTATGATAGTCAATAAATGGTGCATAGTTTAATAAAATATATCAACAATGAAAAGGAAAACAGATAGGGCAGTGTTAGATTTCTGCTGGCTAAAGAGCACAGTACAACGGCACACAGAAATTGTTCTTCCTATGTTACCAGTGATGGTATAGCTTGAAATTTATTTTCAAGTTTTTCTACCTGGCTTGTTTCATATTAAGGAAATAACAGTGCAGAAGTAAAGACTGATTAACAGAAGTGGCCAGAAAAAAATGGTTAATAAAATGGTTGATAAACCCATAGATGTTCATGGTTTGTGACCGAAAGAAAGTCAGCAAGTAGATCAGCCGATATTAAGACACACCAGTGTTCTAGCTGATATAGTGCTTGCAGCATTATATACTACCTTCCAACAAATGTTGACGGGACAAGAGCAGCACTGTAAATCTAAACAGCAAGAAGTAAACTTTGTACAGAGCAGGAAATAAAGATGTCTTGCTTGCTTGTTATCAGCTGGCCATTTTATAGAGCTGAAATGAAATTGGGTTGTAACTTGAAAATAGTTTGTTTTGGGTGGTCAAGTATATGTGAACTAAAGAAAGCTTTGAGCGTCAAAAGGCGGAATGAAGACATTAAAAGGAGCTTCAGCTCATACAAGGAGCATGGAAAATATAAGATGTGGGAGGTTGGAAGCTGATGTCAAGCACTTGAAAATATTTGTTATCCACTTATTTTACAGAAGAGAAAAGAAAGTAGATCAGGAAGAATGGCCATTAGCCAAAATCCAGTGATGTACTAGTGCATGTTTATCTTCCCACTGTGATAAATTATTTGAAAATGGTGAATTTTTCAAACACTATTTGCAGTTTGGGATTAATTTGTGCAAGGTTCACAATTTTTGTATAGGAAACAGCATTTGGTGTGCAGAAAATAATTTTCTATGTAGAAAATACACTTTTTTCTGTGCAACAAATACTGTAATTGGAAATGTATCCTATTTAGAATTTACATGTGGCATTTCTATACAGAAAACAGAGAAAAGAGGTGTAGATTTTAAACAGAACACATCCTGAATTGCAGTTATTTCTATCTGCTCAAACCTTTCCAATATTCAAATTTTTCAAATAATTTTCCAGATATTTTTGAATAGTCTTTCCATCCCTAACATCTACTTTGAGGGACCCTGCTTAATAGGATAAAACATGGCATAGGGATGCAGAGGAACTCAAAGCATCAACCACTCGAAGAAGTTAGAGAAAAGACTGGATGTGGTAGTGACAATGAAGATTGTGATGATGATGATTTTGTGGAGATAGGAGTGTGTATAGTGCCAATCAAATCAATTGTTTCCTTTCGGATGTACTGAATAAGAATTATTTTTTTTAAAAAAAAAATTAAACTGCTTTTAGGCAGCATAACCATGGTATTAGTTCCTTTTAGCATTCTTACAGGTGAAAAACTGTACTTTTGAAGGATTGTTCTTTTCTTTCTTTTCCCAGAGATTCATAATTCTGTAGTGCTGTCCCGAAGACATTTCCTTTGTGCTTTGCTTGCATATTTTGTCATTTAAAAGCTTAGTTTTCCTGAGAAAAACTACACAAGCTTTCAGCTCTTGAGACACCAGAGCTAGCTTTGAACTTCAGAGTACAGATCTAATTACACAGCTTGTAGCTGTGGAACCACTTTTCTCTATTCCAAATTACTTTTCCCAACTTATTTGCATAATGTAATGCATAGAGGTTAGCCACCGAAATAAAAAAAATCTCTTGACATAGTTGGGACAGGCTAAATTAACCCTCTTATACCTGTAGAGCTCTGTTTAATATGCTTGTCTAATAAACTGAAAAACAATAAATTTAGCAAGTTCTGACTGTGTTGTAGTCTTGAATCAGTACTGGTTTTCTTGTTACAGTTGCTTAAATACTATATATGGTGTTATATATTTAAGGCGTAACTCATAGATTGAGTTCCTTGTGACACCAACAAGATTTCCACTTTCACAAAAAAAAGGATATGGAACTCACAGCAGTTCATTATTTCTCCATGCTTACAATTATATTTCATATACACATAATGCATACATACTCAATTATATTTCATATACACATAATGCATACATACTCATTCTGAAAGGGAACTTTTATGGTACTGTATAATGCTTGGTGATAGAGATACATTTTTCATCTACTCTCAAAATGCCAGAACTTTGGGGCACCGGACAATATTGTTTAGCAATCTTTTCAAAATGCACAATTAGCATTGAATGTATTGCCCCAAAATGCTGTACAGGTGGAGTATTCCTTATCCAAAATGCTTGGGATAAGAAGCGTTTTGGATTTTGGAATTTTTGGGGGTTTGGAATACCAATATTTGCATATACATGATAGTTTGGAGATGGGATCTATGTCAAATGATGAAATTCATTTATATTTTATATACAACTTCTGTTTTATAAAATATTTGTAATTTTATTTATGAAAAAAGTTAGTGTGCATTACATCACTAAAAAGTGAAGATATCACTATCTCAACCATCCATGTGGACGAATTTGGATTTTGGAGTGTTTGGGATTTCAAAATGCTCTATAAGGGATATTCAACCTGTATTGACTGGTGGCTTAAATAGCTTTAAAAGAGTATTATACAAACTAATGTGCAGCCTTGATAGAGAGAACCCTCATGTTCAAGAGACGTATGCTTCAGAATATTTTATGCCAGGAGGAGACATTTCACAATATGCAATTGTTGCCCTATGATTCCACTTTAGCTGCCTTGGGGATTGTAGTTTGGTGAGAGATTTCTAAGTACTCCTTCCTAAACTATAAATCCCAGTATGGAGAGGATTTGGAATTCTATGTCAATTCAGTTGGAAGCTACAAACATCGAACCTGATATAACATGAGTGTTACTGAAGACTGGTGTTTAAAGAAATATATTTCTGTTTTATTATTTCAAGGTTATGGTGTTTGTTCATGCTCGAAATGCTACTGTCCGGACTGCGATGGCTCTTCGTGAAAAGGCTAAGAACAATGGTCACATTTGCTACTTTTTGCCAACACAAGGTGCTGATTATGGACAATCAGAAAAACAAGTAAGTGACATATGAGTGATCGGTTTTATTCTTATCTAAATTAGATGTCTTTACAGAGATGTGTGATCCATTTAAAAATGGTTCAAAAGTGGGGGTGTTGGTATTTTGTTTCTAAATTGATTCTAAAGTATAGTTAGTGGGGGAAAATGTTACTATAACAAGAGTAACAAATTTTGTTACAGTAGTTACGCATAAATTACTATAATTGTGGAATTACTATAAATTACTATAATTGTGAAATTCAGGAGCTCCCTTCTCCCTCATTTTTAAAGCTATTGGGGTGAAATTTGCTACAATGTCATCTTAACTTATAGTGAATTGTTCTATTGAATTTAGGCTTAGTTATATGCTGTTTGGTTTATGTATGTAAGGCATTGAATTTTGCCATTTTTTGTAAACCGCTTTGAGTCGTCCCCCCCAAGATGAGAAAAGTGATATATGAATACTATAAATAAATACAATGGTAGACCACTGTTAGCCCATCAAATTTTAGAACGTTTCACTTTTCCATGGATTTTGGGGAAATTTTCAAAGTTTTTATAAACAATCTTTTTTAAAAAAAAACTACAAGAGCTACCTCCTTGATTTTTCTATACAATTATGGGAGACAACAGTAGATCATGCCACCAACTTTCAGAAATATTCATACATCTACTGACTTTAGGGATTTTTTAAAAAAGTCTTGACAAAAATGTTTTTTTAAGCCATAATAGCTATCGCATTGAATGTCTCTCATATTAACCAATGAAAACTAATATTAACCAATTCTACATTTTCATAGAATCCTAGAGTTGGAGGGGACCCCCAAGAGCCATCTAGTCCAACCCCCTTCTTCTAGGCAGGGCACCATCGAAACTCTACTGACAGATGACCACCCAGCCTCTTAACTAATTAACCTGCTTCCCCTATATTATGGGGGCCATCCATTTAGAGATTTCTTCCCAGCCCAGCACAGACGTTTACTTAACAGAAGCATCTGTGAGTCCTCTTCTTTGCAGATTCAGCCATTCATTGGAACTCTCTCTGGGTGCTGTTAAGGAGGGACAAACATCTCTCTCCATGACCCTGATTGGTGCTTTCTGATGCTGATGCATTCTGGGAAAGGTACTTTAGGACAGGGCCTTTTGAATTCTCTGGCATAGAGCTCCTACCTTCCCAAACTACATTTTCCAGACTTCTGTGCTGTTCCCAGCAAATACTGCTCCCTCTTTTTCCTCGTTACTAAGGCTGAGACTCCATTAATTTAGAGAAAAGGCAAGGCAGTAAGTCAGCCTTTTTGGCTTGGCTTTGCTTCCTTCTGCTGAAAAGGAAACTGACTTTGGGAACCTTCCAAGATTTACAAAATTTAAACAAAAAAAAAAGTATGGAGTAAGTTTCAATTCTTAAATTTTTGGTGTGGGTCACACCCACATATTGAATATTGCCTCATAAATACAAAATTTAACAAATTTGATCCAAATTACGAGGCAAATGAAAAAAATGCACACCTCTAGTTTTTAAATGCAGTGGGTTGCTTCTGTTACATGTAGCAGACATTTCCACAACTTATTGTCATGGCTTTTCCCTTTTTGTTCAAAGAAATACAACAATTCGTTTGATGTTTGAAAATAGTATCTCATTATATGTTATCATCTTTGTTAATTATTTGAGTTTCAAATAAGTTCGAGGTTTTGTGTCATTCATATATATGTTTGTTTTGAGAAGCCCATTGAGCAGCATGGCAGACATCCTCAATGTGATTCTTTCCTATGTCAACATTTTGGCAGTTGCCAGGAGGTAGAACTGGCTTGAGTATGAACATATATGCCATCTTCTTAAAGACATAGCTTTTCTGTGTGGAACAATATGCAAGTAATCTCCAAGTACTTGATGTACTTGTTCACATGCCATCAGAAGCAGTCTCTTGAGCAATATTGTACATTATCTAATGAGAAGGAAGGAAAGAGTTATCCACCCACCCTGCCAGAATTGTACCCTGTCTTTCTGCTGAAAAGAACACTGTGCTCTGGCTGCTGGTTGTCATAGGAGAGCAATGCTTAAGAAAGCTTAAGAAAAATGCATTAACTTCTGCTATTGGCCACTTTCATCCTTGACCACCCTGAAAGAACAGGGAGATCAAGTTGGGCCTACCATAAACCAGGAGAAAACTGCTCTGTATTACTTTGAATGTCTTTTTCCTTTTCCTTACCGTGCTGCTGGGGCAGGGGGAGGGATGGCCAGTGGCAAGTGGCTGAATGGATGTGGGTGTCTTCCTTCCTTGGGGCTGCATTGGGTGCTGTTGTTAGCATAAGAGGGGTATGATTCTAGATCAAAACTCTTGGAGGGTCATAAGTTATGCACCACTGATCTAGATAGAAGAAAACAATAGGTTAGTTCTAGAGTTAATCCTCTGCCAGTGGAAGTGCTCCTTCCATTGTGAAGGATAACTGGGATTTAGCAGAGCTTCAACACTGGAAAGAATATAGTAATGTTTTTGTCAATTCCTCTGTCTTCTTCTTGCACCCCCCTCCCCCACCCCCAGTGCCTCTTCACATGCTGTTCCGGAGAAACAAGAGAAGTCCTTATGGCACTTCAAAATCTAAACAATTTATTTGGCATAACTTTATTGTGCCCCAGCCTTATTCCTCAGATGTATTTTGAGTGTCTAATGAAGTGGTTTGGAGCCCACAAAAGCTTATACCTTTGTTGGTCTTTGAGGTACCCCAAGGCTGCCATTATTTCTGCAAGAGACTGATAAGATTATTGCATCCTCTCAGAACTGTTGTGAATAATCCCTCAGACCTCAAAAGCAGGCATTCTGCAAAACTCACTTTCATCTTCCCTACAACTCTTGTGTAGCAACCCTATTGTTGTATCTCAGGCTAAGATTCACCTTGCTCTCTCTGACAAACCAGCCAAACTTGTGAAGAAAGAAGTTTATTGTGAGGTTTTTCAAACAAATCAGAGTATAAGCAGTAAAAAGTTCAATAGTACAAGGTAAAAATCCAATAGATTCCCTTTGAGTCAAAGCAGGAAACTTGAAGCAAGAAGCAGCATAAAATCCAGGAAATAGCATGAGGTTACATGAAGCAGGCTTTCTTCCCCAAGGCCCAAGCCCCAGAGCAGGAGACAAAGCGAGCCATTTTGCAACGTTGGAACTGACGCCGAATCAGCTCCCAGGCAGTTTACTTATAGGTAAAACATCAAAACATTGAACATTAAACAGACAGCTAACAAGCAGTTTTCCCACCAACGGATGGGCTCAAGACTTGGCCGCAATTCGTAAACTCCTTCTCAACACCTGCGGAACAGCCTGACCTTCACCAGCTGTCTTATCAGCCACATTCCGTTCCTGTGAGAAAAGTGGTTTCTCTCTAGCTACAGACTGTGACTGAGAAAACTGAGAAAACTGAAATCCCACACCTGCATCTGTATTCCCATTCCCATCATGCTCATCTGCACTCTCAGTCCCATCATGCTGTTGCTGTTGAACCACAACACCTATGCTTTTCCTTAGTCCACATTGAGCCTTCTTTTCCTATGCATTATAGCTATGGCTGACTATGGGTTTTGTTTGAGTAGTGCCCAGGAAAGCTTTCTTTTCTGAGGAAGTGGGTTGGCACTGTGTCTGTATTGCCTATTTTGTAAAAATTTCATTTGTTTATTAGTGGTTATTGGTTGCATGTTGAAGTATTAGAGTCATAGCTGTGGGCATTCAAATTATTCAAGCTTTTCATGATAACTTAGGTATGAGGTAAGGCCCTAATTCAAACCAGCTCAGAAATTGGAGATCAAAATTCAGGTTTGTGTCTGCTACCATTTTGCTTCTAACAGTTAGTGGGGAAGGTACTTTAGGCTAAAGAAGCTGAGGCTGAAATCTCTCTGCACCACGTCAAATATAACATAGTTTTTGGGCTACCTACTTAGTTTTTAATGTAGACTACTTGATTCTTCCTTGATCCTAAATGGAAATTTTACTGTTGGTTAACTCAAAATAGCAAAATGTAAACTATCTGCTAGTGCTATTCCAACTGGGGATTTACATGTATTTATCTTCTGCTGACACTTCATGACATATCAAGGCAATTAAGATCCATTTGCTAAGAAACATTACTAAAACATTAATATTATTTCCCAAAACTGGCAACTTTGCTACTCAAAACCATAGGTTCCTCTCATTAGTGATAATTAATGGAGCGATTTCACTGCCCTGTGAGACCTATGAACAAAAAAGATATTTTCATCTGTTAATGTTTGCAGGAAAGAGTCATTTGTAGTTTCTATCAAATTTGTGGCTCACTGGTGCGATGTTTATTATAGCAAAACTTCCTCACAGCTTATCAAAGAGTTGATTCAGATGCAACCTTGTTTAAAAGTTCAGGATCTTCCTTTTCCTAGCTTTTCCTGCATTTCTCCCTGATTGTGGAGTTTTAAATTCTAAGCCTTGGTGGTTGCAGTCTTGTAACTAAAATATTTTTTTTCTTTTGTCAGGTCATTTTAAAATGCCATGAAAGGGAATATGTGGTGATTTTTTTTACAGTTTATCTAATTTGCTTCCTTACTGAGAAATATAGAGCTAAACTTTCAAGAGAAAAGTGTAAATGTTTGCATCTTGCTAAGCCAGTTATTACAAAACTCTGCAAGCAAATATTACTTTTTGGAAATTAGAGATTAGAACACTGACAAAAGAGAAATAATGTTTAGCATAAAAGAAGATAATGCAGCAATTGAATGTTGCTTTGAGGTGGAGAAAACATCCCATTGTGTGTGAGTTACCAAGGAGAATGTCCAAGATCTTATGGCTATACAATTATTCTGAACATTTTTTTCAGAACTCTCTAGGATTTACTAGCTAAAATCTTTGATCTCTGAAAAAATAGATTTAATGGACTGGGTTGTCACTCTGATTTTGACTACATGAACCATTGGCTAATGTACTCATCAAAATAAATCAAGAAGTATTTGAGACTTAAGTGAAATCTGCCAAGTAGCAAGTTTGTGAAGATGTTTTAACAGCACTG